TTTATATGCTTCAAGCGATATTGCAGTTGAACAAATAAGCATTTTATTTTAGCGGGGACTAACTTAGGAAAAAATATTCCTTATGCTAGTAATTCTTATGAAATTTTACCTCAAAAAGTAACAAATTTTAATTGTATTGAAATATCTATTAAGGAATTTGAAGCTGCTTTCAAAACGATTAAACCAAATAAAGCAATCGGATTCGACGGTATCAACGGAAACGTCGTTATAAATTCTTACAATTTTATTGAAAATATTCCATTTAAAATCTTTTCGTCTTGCGTTAGCCAAGGGGTTTTCCCTGATCAACTTAAAATTGCCAAAGTAACACCAATATTAAAAGGAGGGAATGCAACTAATGTTGATAACTATAGCCCTATCTCTATTTTTCCTGTATTTTCAAAAATTTTAGAGAGAATCTTATATAACAAAATCAACACTCATCTTTCTGTTAATAATATTTTATTTAATAACCAATATGGTTTCAAAAAAAATAACTCCACAGAGCATACAATACTTCAGTTTACACGTAATATTAACGAGTCGTTTAATAAATCTAAGTATACATTAGGAATTTTTATTGATTTATTAAAAGTTTTTGATACTATCGACCATCAAACTCTTATTAAAAAGCTCGAACTATATAGAATTGCAGGAGTCGTTTTAAAGTGTGTAAAAAGTTATTTGAATAATTGTGCTCAATATGTACACATTGACAATAAATCACCAAAAACGTTACTAAATATTACTTGTAGGGTGCCACAAGGTTCTATACTCGGACCTCTTTTTTTTCTTATATATGTTAATGATCTTCATAAAGCATCCAGACTGAGGACAATAATGTTTGGCGACGACACAAATTTATTTTTATCGCACAGCAACATTACTATATTATTTGAAATTATGAACTTAGAACTTAAAAAGGTTTCCGACTGGTTCAAATTAAATAAACTTTCAGTAAATATTGACAAAACTAACTGGACTCTATTTCACCCACTTTTCAAAAAAAAAAAACTAATACCATACAAAACGCCATCTATATTCATTGATAATATTCAAGTTAAAAGAGTAAAAACTACTCAGTTTTTATGAATATATATTGATGAAAATCTTACATGGAGACAACACATTGAAAATTTAAGCAACAAAATTTCAAAAAGTATTGGAATATTATTCAAATCAAAAAGCTAATTATACATGCGCACTTTAATGCAACTATATTATTCACTTATTCACTGCCATGTTAGCTATGCAAATATTGCGCGGGGCAGTACTAACAAAAGTAAACTAGAGCTTCTTTATCGTTATCAGAAACATATAGCACGTTTAGTTAATTCTTGTGATAGACGAACTCATTCAAAGCCTCTCTTAAGAAAAATGAATGTTTTAAACATAAATCAACTTAACGTATATAATATTCTTTGTTTTATGTTCAAATGTAAAACGAAAATATCCCCGGCTCCTTTTTATAGTTTATTTATAACAAAACAAAAAAATAAATATAATCTACGAAATGATGATTTTTTGATGCAACCATTTTCATAAACTTATCATTGTAAATTTTGCGTATCATTTCGGGGACCGTATCTTTGGAACAAAATTGTCTTAAATAACTTTGATTTTTCTTTTGAATGGAATTACATATCTTTTAAAAAAAAGTTGAAAGAAGTAGTTTTTGAAATTGACAATATACAAATGTACTTTTAATCCTTTTGAAATTCTTTTTATCTATTATTTATATCGGTTTATATGATTTGTAATGTATGATTTTTCTTGATATGATTTGTAACTCAATTATTTACGATCTTCAAGCCTATATTGCTATTATACTATCTGTCCAATTATCTTTAAGAAATTTTTTGTGAACTTTTTATTTTTTTTAATTTAAATCTTGTTATTCTTCTATTATTGCTTAACACTTTTTATGTACTATGTAAAATATTTAACTTGTAAAAATGTAACAACGTCTGTTTACCGCGGTACTCGACGACAAGATCTTACGGTCTTCTACGAGTTTCCGCGTTCTTTTTATATATATATTAAATATCTTCACTTGTAATTGTTTATATTTTTTTATTTTAGCTTGTAAATTTTATAAAATATTAACGTCATGTTTTAAAATGTAATTAAATACAAAAAAAAAAAAAAAAAAAAAAAAAATATTTTGTCTTTGAGGAGCTTTAGGCACGGGCCGCACATGTTTTAAAATCAATTTTTAATTGTTAGAGTTATTCTAGTAGTTGCAGGAGGAGGTTTCATTGGTAGATAAGAGTGGTAAATTATTTTGTAATGGTTTACCTATTACCCCTAGACTTTGACTTGGTTCTCCAATTAAAATTCTATTTGTGAAATATCTGGGCATGAAATCTTTTTGCGGCTTGTGGTTCAGACAATGAATTATTGGAAAGACTAATAGTTTTTTTTTTTACCACATTTTCATTTTTTTTTATTTCTATCTGTTTTTGTTACATATTTACGAGGCATCTTATAGATAAAAGAAATAAATTTTCGTGGTATTTTTAAGCACTGGTCGAATGTTCCCCAGCTAGGTTGGTCGCATGTACCCCACATGTGTTATATATAAACAAACGCTGTTAAAAACCGAAATAAATTTTTCGAAGTAAAGCAAACACAAAGGTTTTTAATTCAAGATATCATTAAACAATAAACAACAAAAAAGTTTAGAAGGTCAAAGTTGGAAAAGAGATTCTTTGCGGATTATTTAAAACATAAAAAATTTACCTTTTATAGCAATAATTAGATTTTCTTCTAAATAAGTACTAATACTAATAAAGATGGATCGATACTTATTTCCCGCAATAGCTTATTAACAGACAAAATATGCCTAAAAGTTTTAAGTGGTTAATTTTAATCATGCTGGGAAATATTTGAAAAGGTCGAACGTTCCCCATGGTCGAATGTTACCCGTCTTTCCCTACATTAAGTTTTTAAAACGGTTTGCTGGGATTTAGCTAACGTGTAGCTCAAACTACCAGTTTTAGCAAAGCTATTAAATTTCAGACAGTTGTAACGTCTCAAGACGTTAGGTTTCGTAACAATCTCTTTAAAAGTTACAATAATTTATTTTTATATGTAAAACAATGTATTTAAGCTGTAACCAATGATTTGGTAAGTGTACAAAGTACTCTTAGAACACTTTTTATTTAACATAGCACAACAAACATTTTTTTAAACAGCATCAGTAGATAATTGATTTCAAAAGATGTTCTGTTAGGTAAAAAATTAATGTCTATGCAAATAATTATTCCACAACTTTGTTTTATTTGATGACCTCTTGTTGATTGATAAATTCTTGCTTAATGATGAATTCTTGCTGAATAATAAATTCTTGGCAAAACTTTCTTCGTTAAATTTACTATTTCAATTTTATCAAATATCTTGCTTGTTTGAATTAAATCGCCCAGAATCCCTCTTACAACTGAGGTAGTGAGTCACAACTTATGAAATATTTTTTCATACAACAGTTTAATTTTGGCAATACAAATCTAATGACAATTTTGACTGCATCTAATCAATTTTTCCTGCGTTTAATAAAACCAGATGTACTTACAACAGGTGATTGTATTTCAGAATTATGGATTGTTTTTCAGAATTAATGGAATAAACAGTGACCAACAAAAACGTTAAGTTACATTATTATTTTGGTGAATATAAAAAGTAAAAAAGGTTGATTTCATTACTTCATCCTTATTACCAACCTATCAAAAAAAAAAATACTTCAAAATTAGAAGTTCACTTCTAGCTAATGCTGGTACTTTAAATAAACTGGATTTATTTTAAAACATGCGGATCCCACAAGTAATCATTTTAAATTTTATATAGACGATATCTTTGAACAGTAAAACGGCAAGAATTTTATTAAGTCTTTTTGTTTCATATTTTTTGCTTTCTGATATATATAGCTAGTGTAGATTTGTCACTCAAAAAATACATCAATGAATAATAGATCTTGTTAGAAAAAAAATTGTTAGGAAAATATCATAACAAAAAACAACGCAGAAAAATTAAAGTTTCTAAGCATATCTATTTTATCGCAAAACGCAAGACAGCAAAATTTGTTGCTATTGAAAGATCCAGTCTAAACTGGAAACAAAGTTTTAACTAGAAGCTAAATGAATAGCAACTATTTAGTATTCTCATAACCCAAAATGATCCTCTTACGAAAAGGTCCTGATTTTTTTATACCATCAAGGTGTTAGAACAGGCTTACTTGATTATTACAAATAAATAAAACAGGCTTACTTGATTATTACAAATAAATAAAACAGGCTTACTTGATTATTATAATTAAAAAAGTTGAAAATGCATTTTGAGTTATCTTCTATCGTACTAATTCTCCGTTACAAATTAATGATAATCCGGATATTTTATCATATCCAAAGATAACTTCTAAAATCATAATCAAAGATTAACTCAATAAAATCTATGGAGGAGTAAAAAGTCTTGATAGTGGTAATTAAATAAAAAAATGAGAAAAAGAAAACCAAAAACGACCAAATCAAATTAAAACAGTTATCGATATCAACAGTCAACAATTTATGGGTGTTTGTTACTTTTTTTGATAAAAAATTGTTTTATTTGTTAATTTAAATTTACTTGATTATTGTTCAATAACTCATAAAATAAATTTGACTATGAAAAAATTACTTTTGAAATTTTTGACTGATCTAAAAAATTTACCCGTAATTTAAAAACTTAAAAAAATTATGGGTTTTGCTACACCATCGTTTTTTTTACATAAATCTTTAAATGGGTGAAAATACATAGAAAATTTTGTTGCTTTTCTCATAAGATCATTTTTACGATACATTAAAAAATCACTACAATAATTTTATGCTTGTCTTACATAACAAACAACATTTTTGGATATTTAACTATGATGTACCAATACTCATATTTTATAAAACAAATAACTTCTAATAAATTTTTTTTTGTTATTTTTGTATATTTTATAATAAAATAAAGTTTTATTTTTCTAGTTACTTTGATACTGGCTGGGACATTTTTATGTGTAATATTGTTTTTTGCCGTCTTTACTTTATGCAAATATATACGCAATAAAAATAGAAAGAAGAAGTCTAATGATCATCCTCAACTAATCGTTAAGAATCCTAGCGAATTTTCAATTATAAAAGTGAAGACTCAATTACCAGTAAAAGATGGTGACAGGACAAAGTACCCATCGGTTTGCTTATCTTTTTTTGTTTTTATAGATTTTTGTATCTGTTAATTTAAATAATGAAAATTTTCATAAAATCAATTTTGCTATTGTTAACTTTATATTATTAGTCGAGCATTTTTGTGAATGAGTGGGTTCATACATTCGGACGAAGAAATTCTCCAACTATTGTGGTTTCAGATGAATATTATCCTAAATATTCTGAAAGGTCAGATAGTATTTCTCATGAGGCACCATTAGTTGTCAAAGAAAGGTCTTCTTCTCAAATAGAATTAAAGCAGCGTAAGATTAGTAATGGAGCGTTGGAGCAATTAGCTAAACAAGGTAAACAAGGTAAGAAAAAAGTTTATAACTTTAATTAAATAACGTAATCAAGTAAAAAAAAAAATTAAATTTGTATTCGGCGCGACAATTTCTTCAATAAAATTAGGAACTTCAGTTTCTTTTTTATTTGAAAAGGTTTTTTTAAAAGCTGTTACTATATAAGTTAATATTAGCAGCGGTGGCGTAATATTTGCAGCCATGGGGTAATATTAGCAGCCGTGACGTAGTAATAGAGATCTGAATCAGAACGTTGATGTCCAAGGAACAATGTCACCTCTGACCGGAAAGAAAAATTGTAGAGGAGGCGTGAACTCTCTAGTTAAATTTTACGGTACTTTGTGATAAGGTCATAAGAACTTCATGGAACACCTTAAGAATCACAAGAAAAAAAAAGATTTCTGATTTCAGTTACCAACTGCCCAGCAAACGTTTTAGTTGGTTTGCAGTGGACCTATATAGGCAATTTTGAGCGATTTTTTGGAATTTCGCTCATCAGTTTCTTACTGGACCATTAATGGCCGCAACATATGGCCAGAAGATAACTTTCTAAAATGTTAATAATGGCTAGTCATCGACTAGCCACTTTTAACGGCTTTCACTAATGGTCTACCAAGTAACCTATGAGCAAAACTACAGTGAACCGTTCAAAATGCCGTCAGGTTTATTGAAATTCCGCTATAGAAAATTTGTTGGGTAGTATGATTTTTACGATTTTTTTTAAGAATCAGAGAAAGCCAATAATTACCCTCTTCAAATTTCAAAATTCTATAAAATTTTTTAAAGTGGTTGTTACTATTCATTATAGAAGCTCAATTTTAAAGTCTTTTCGAAAATATTCATTTTTTATCTAGAAGTTGAATTTCAAAGTTTGACTAAATTCTTAGAATTATAGAACATATGTTATCAAATTCATTTTTAAATTTGAAAACCAAATTAAATACATACTTTTTTTTAGGCAATAAAAATATATTTACTTATATATTTTTAAAACCTATATAAAAAATATATTTACTTATATTTATTTTTAAATTTCAACACTAAAATTGATAAAATAAGGTAAGTAAAATTTTTAAATAAATATCCTGCTTTTAAAATACGAAAAAAATTGGTTTTTATTCATCTTTATCTGCAAAATCTTCATTTAATATTATACCTAAGAACAATATCATAATGGCTAAAGAACAATATCAAAATGGCTAAAGAACAATATCATAATGGCTAAAGAGCAATATCATAATGGCTAAAGAACAATATCATAATGGCTAAAGAACAATATCATAATGGCGCCATAAAAGCCCCAAATTTACAAAATGTAGTATAAAAAAATGTGAATTCCTTTAATTAACAAAGGATTTTCTTGTGATTTACAAGCATATTTGATAATTGTTTGAAAAACTTATTTTTTTATTATTTATTGTCTTCTAAAAAGTACTCTTTTCATGCACCCAATTGCAGTATCGAAATCAGTTACCGCAAAAAACTTGAAAAGTAAACTGGTAGATAATTAGTAATGAAACAAAACATTTTGGTAAATAAAGAATTACTTCATTTTCAATATGGTTATTAATGTTGTTTTTCAATTTTAGTTTCATATATTGGTAATTTTTAATATTTAATTTTATGCATTACAATTTTTTGGTTCCAAGGTACATACAAAACTATTACTTTTGCAGCAATAAATGATAGCCTGAATACCATTGTCTTTGAGATGCACCCAATTATTTCTAACTCACACAACATCAATTTAGATACAATTATATGAATTTCAACATATTGTTTGGCTTCTTTATATTTACGTCATACTACTATGCTTCTTTGCACTATTTCTATTTTTGGTAAAGTTTTTCAAAATGTTTTAGAAGAAAAACGATAATTATCATGTTTATCATGAGCCAATTTTAATTGGCGTACGTAAGTGGATCAACTGCAGCTACATAATTGTATTTTAAATATGTAAGTTTTTTCCAAGTTTCTGGATCATTACTTATTTGAAATACCGATAAGTGGTTAAAATTCTTTACAATGAGGCATTCGGAACTAGGTATATTTTAACAATTTATGCATTAACTTTCTCTACGCATTTGTCAAGGATCATTGTTAAATTCTCGCTTATCTTGTTATATTGTGTGTCAATAACTTTTCCAATAATATCTTTGGAAAAATATGACAACGTGTTTATTTTTACTATTTTTAGGCTCTTCCGCATGTTTTTTATCATTTGCGATATTTAATGATTTTTCATTTTCTATTAATTATAATTAATTTCTATTAATTGAAATTAATTTGAATAATAATTAAATATAAAAAAAAAATAATTAATAAATTTCTATTATTTGTAATTAATTTCATTTTCTATTAATTGTAAGTAACAAAATTATGTTGTTTCTCATTTATATTGTTTTGAAACGAGTTTCTACTTTACCTAAGCAAAGCTAAATCCAGTAAACAACGTTTTCCTTATTCTTTTTTAAATTTTTTTGTTAATTTTAGACTTTTTGCAGCATCCGATAAATAAACGAGCTTCGTTTTTATTCGTTTTCTACGTCAGCACCGAGTCATAACACTTCAAAATAAATTCACGATTCTATTTGTACTCAATTTGTAAACTTAATACACGGATTAATAGTCTCAGTTCCGTTCCGCAAATTATCTCAAAGTTGTTTAGGAAAGTAAACTCATATTTTAGAAAAGTAAACATTTCTAAAATATGAGAAGATTTGAGAAAAAATTTGAGAAGCAGAATATGACATATTGATATTACTTTCATATAAAATCTTTGATATAAAATTTTTTTAACGCCAAATATCTTTCTTAGCCAAATTTATCACTAACTTAAGTTCGAAATAGTTATCTTACTAAACGGTTTTGTGATAATTAACGGAACGGAATGAGACTATAAACCCGTGTATTGAAGTCGACTAGGAATTGTAACAGCGTTGGGAATACTAATTCTAATTAAACATTAAATTTTCTTACATCTCATAAATCTGTTATCGTTTAATAATATAATTGTGATATGTGATAAAAAATAATATGGCATACCATTAGAAATTGGAAGAAACATTCTATAATGATGATTGCTTGGGATATTACTCAACAATTTGTACATTGACAGTTTTTTCTGAAATGGTTTAAACATGCAAAGGTCTTTTGCAATTTATTTTGAAAAATTTTATTGCAATAAATTTAGAGGTTCCTACAAATGAGTATGTACATATAAATTAAACCTGTCAAAATATATAAGTCAATATATATATATATATATATATATATATATATATATATATATATATATATATATATATATATATATATATATATATATATATATATATATATATATATATATATATATATATATATATATATATATATATATAAATATTAGACTGCTTCATTTTGAGGTCATGAAAAAATTTAAAGTACCATGGAGTGCTATCTGTTGCACCGACCCATATTTTATTAGTAGAATTTTTTTTATTTTAAATTTTGACCAGTTTTAGGGGTTGCTCAAGTGCCTCAAAAGTCATATTTTAGGCTTTTTTAACCTTTTTTAAGCTCATTTTTCGCACTTGAGAAAGTAATAAAAATCAAAAAATTTAAATTTTTTTCTCCAGAGTTTTTTTTAAGTTAGAATAAAAAAATTAAAATGCATGGTAATTTTATTTTATTGAAATACTTTGTGTAAATTTATCTACAAAAACGCATGGTTTTGCAGATTTTTTACCGATTTTTACGCAATGCAATATCTTTATGGATATGTTAAGTTATTTGGAAAATAAAATCTAATTATGTTGCATAAAACATCTATATATAGCATTAAAGGTCTATAAAAACTTTACTATATTGCTTAAAACTTTATGCAATATCACCATTTTCTTTACATTTTTTATCAGCTAGGGCTAGTACAATAAGGTAATGGTCCAGAAACCTTGTGTGGCGTTTGATAGATTCATTGACAGATTCTGCCCTAATTAGATTGTACTCCTTAAACCTATTCATTTGCCAAAGTGCTCTCATATCCTGGATAAAACAAAAAACTGTTAACCTTTCTTTAAAAAAATTATACTTTAGATTCTTTTTATAATTATCAAAACTTTTTATTCAAAATAGAAACCTTTTTATATTTTATATATATATATATATATATATATATATATATATATATATATATATATATATATATATATATATATATATATATATATATATATATATATATATATATATTTCCAGACTAGGTATAGCATCCATCATAAGATGGAGTTTTAGGTAGCAGATACCTATAAAAAAAAAAGTCTTTTTTTTTTTTAATTTTTTAAAAAGACTAATATTTGATAATGTAAAACAAATTCCTTTTTTTGCTATGAAGCTATAATTTTACTACAATTTGAAATTTGTCATGAACATACAATTACTTACCTTTGTCATAAAGCGGGCATGGTAGAAATTTGTACCTGTCCTCAGAAAGCACCATAATTGTAAGCTCTGCCAGCTCAATGTAGTCCTTCCTGGTAGCTCTATCCTAAAAATGAAATCAAATCATAATTATTTAGGTATTATACAATAAACCTATTTATATTTTAATATAATAAAAAATAATAGAATTAAAAAAGAAAAATTTATAATAAATTACAACATAATAGCACATACTACATAGATATCGGGAGGACGCGGAAAAATCCGGTCAACTTTAAATTGAGATTTCTCTAAAACCATAAATGCTTTTTATTTTAATTTTTTTTTATTATTAAATGTGATTACATAAATTAGAGTTTCAACTTAGTTTTAAGGGGCTTGATGGGTTGTTTGGCAAGAAATCAAAATTTATAGCGGGTTGATGCCATCATTTCACAGATTTTTTCTTTTTTCACTTTATTAGTTGTATTAATCCACTTTTTTTGGAAGTCCTTTTTATTATTTGTTACTACACCTGTCTTACAAAGAACTCCTATAACTATTGCTCAAAAATCTTCAATCTTGCGCTCTTCAGGACGTTTGGAGGATTT